AAGTAAGGTCAAGGACATGGCCAGCGCAGTGTGTTGGCTGCCCCGGCACACCAATGTAGTCCATAGAGGCGTTAGCAGCCCACCTGGCGAGCTCTATGCCGCCGCTGGCTGCGGAAACAGAGGGCTCAAAGGATTCGTGTCTGACGTTAAAGTCCCCTCCTACAACGCAGTGTTGGGGGGGCGTAGGGTGCGTAACGTATTGGAGTACGTCAGGGGTAAGTGGCTGTCTGTAGCAGTTGAGTATCAAGACTCCGTTCACGACAGCCCACAGCAGGTCTGGGTGATCGAGGCTTTGTCTAGCCTGGAGCTTCAAGTGGTATCCTTTGCGGATGTAGGTCATCACCTAAGGGCGGGTTGCGCCTAGTGCGTTAGGAGCGTCCTAGGTGCTAATGGGTGCGAGGTGTCTGAAGCCTGGGTGGGTGGAGGTCCTTAAGTTGGCACAGGTGAAAGGCTCTTAGACGCATACAACATCCATGTCCTTCTGAAAGGCCGCTTCTAGGATTGTAATGTGGCAGGGTGAGCTCCTGCCGACGTTGGCCCAGCATATGCGGAGCTGGTCTCCCTGCTGGCCAGGCCGTCGTTGCCTGTTGCAGGCGGAGGGTGTGTGTTGGTGTCCTAACATGTAGATGGTGACTGATCGCTCATGCTGATGTCCTCCCTCTCAGAGGTTGAGGGATCAGTGTAGATGGTTGGTCGTGGGAGCAGACTGTTGGCTGACATGTCCCTTACATTCAGGTTCGTACAGCCTGCAGCGGCCCGTCTTGGTCTCTTTTCTCTACCAGTGGTGGGCAAGGATGCTTGAGAGGCGCTGCTTGTTCCAGTTGGAGCTGCCCTGCTATCCTCTTCTAGTGCCCGCCCCCGTGGAGGAGGGTGGGGGGCCGCTATCTCCTGCGCGGCCTCTAGGGGGGTATCTTCATGCTGAGGCGATGCCTGATTAAGGGTCTCCTCATGCTGCGGCGTTGCCTGGTTAAGCGTCTCTTCTACCGTCCTGTAGAGGTGCTGGTATGTTGCTCTGCCTGCGCGACGGATAGCGTTTAGTTCAGTCTTGGTGGGCTTGATTATGTGTCCATGCACCCGGCGAGGGGCAGCGGGGCAGTTGGAGTGACTGGCCGGGTGTGGGCCATGGCAGTTGGTGCACTTGGCTTTATGAGGACAGTCGTCCCCATAGAGCCCTTGGTGTCTATCTGTGCGATCTCCGCAGTGCACACAGCGGGCTAGCCAAGTACAGCGGGCAGCGTTGCAGTATTGTTGGCAGCCTAGGTCGTGTCGCTGTATAGTAGGGTGTTTGTGGATTTCTTTAGAGAGTTGGCTGGTGCCAAAGAGCCGGAACGAGCGGACTGGCTCCTTGTATGATATGATCTAGGTAGTCAAGCCATTCTGGTTGGCCCCGTGTCAGGAGGTTCTGCAGCTAACTGGCTGCTTGCCTGTTTGCGAGCGGACCTCTTCCTCAACTAGCTGGGTAGTAGTAGGTAGTTCAGTGCTGTCTAGAGTCTAGAACGAGCTAGGTACTCCTTGTATAGCGTAGTTGATCTAGTGTTCTGGGACCCTGATTGTATCTCCGCCTAGGGCTTTTACTATACCGTGTCCGTGCGCGCAATGCACGCGGTCGCGCAATGCACGATTTTTGGGCCCAACGGGTTCACAAAAATGAGGCTCTACAGCCACCCACAAATGGTAAATATATATAATATTGTGGTGTAGTAGTAATTGAAGTATGACGATTAATTTGTACTATTTAAATTTACTTGGCAGTCTGACGCTGCGGCCGCGTGACGTCGTGACGGGTGGTTGGCTTGAGGAGGCCTCCTGGGCTTGAGCACCACCCACGGCATCCACCACACGTTTTTGACGCTTGCTCTTTTGTGTAGATAGTAATGAGGCTCTCTTCTTGCCTGTTTGGGATAACTGTATAGGTTTGGCAGCGTTGTGGGCGTCTT